ATTTCAATTATGTGATACTGTGTTATTCCTGACACGAAATTTCGCCGTTAGTTAACGGTGAAATGAGAGCACACTATAGCTGCTGACAAGATATTCCGCCGTTAGTTAACGGCGAAATCACGGCATACATTAATTAACGGCGAGGTAGCTGATCAGTAGAATAATATTTAATATATCTTTTTTAAAGATTTCTGATATAGTTATTGGCTAACTTTTTTTTCGTAGAAGTAGATATGGAAAACGGCGAAATTCGCCGTTATATCAACACCCGTGTTTACAGCCTGTCATGTGGCTATCAAAGGGGTCATAAACGACTCTGTGTTTACAGCCTGTCATGTGACTATCAAAGTGAGACCGGCTTGCTGATGATCAATTTTTTCATAATATTTATGCTGAATACACTGTTTTTTTATTATTTTTTATTCCAGGAAGTATTTTTTGCTTTACGCCTTTTGATAGTATGACTATTAACTTTATTACATTAAGGTTCAATATAGTCCAATTCTTCTCAATTCTTCGACTACAACACTTATTGTTGTCACTTCATCGTTTTAATATATTCAAGCAGAACCCCGAGTTCACGCAGCTATGCGTCTAGTTGTTATCAAAAACGATCGTTTGACGTTGTAGAGAAGTTTTTATTTCGCTTCTTCCCGGCAAAGAATGTTATAACTGAGTAGAGTGATCGCACTTAAACCGTGCAAGTATACAAACTAAATAGCGCTTTATACAATTTTCGATAAATTTATATAACGCGCGCTTTGATCAGCTGACGACCGTGTTTATATCAGAGGACAGAGACACGGCTTACCGGCAAAATTTGCTTTTCGCTCGGAAAATTTTATAAAAGAAATATAAAACGGCCGCTTGTGTCTCTGTCTTAGAATTTCTAAGATGTATACTGGACGAGGAAGATGACAAGCCATTGGAAATGCTGTTTCATCGATTAGTTACCCCAGTGCTGCACAAGCTGACCACAGAGGAAATTGTCGGATGGACCTTTGTTCATGGTACCATTCGCTGCTCCTCTGCTCTACAGAATCCAGGCACGAGCAACTTTCTATCTGAAACCAAACGCCTTCGCTTGGCTCCTTCTCTGACGACTTTGAAAATTCTACAAGAATCTTCACTAGCTTGCCATCATCAGGTAATAATGGTTAAAACGATAAGACGAGTGCTTCATGCAAGAGTTCAATATACACCTAATTGAAAAGTGTTCGAAAAGGTCACATCATAGAAGCTAAGTTTGAGTACCACTAAATTGGGATTACATTTGCATATACGGTGCACACTAAGCAAGTAGAGCTAGTAAGATGAACAGCATGTGATAGTCTTTTATGCTGGAGASCTGTTTGTTATGAATTAGCCAAATTGTTTGTCTTCCCTTTCGGTCTTAGCTTCTATGATTTGACCTT